CGGCTCAATAATTTTTACATACATGATGTATGTGTACATATATGGCAATGCATTTACATACCTAAATGCATATCTCATATCTGTGTAATTACAATTCAGATTAAGACAGATTTCTTTTTTTTTTAACATTTTTTTATTGAGTTATAGTCATTTTTCAATGTTGTGTCAAATTCCAGTGTAGAGCACAATTTTTCAGTTATACATGAACAAGACAGATTTCTTGTATTCCATAAAGGCCCCCCTCCCCCAGTTCTCTTTCTCAGCCTAGTATTACACAGCAATTAAAAAGAAGCTGAATTTCACAGAGACAATACTTTGAAGATTACTCACACTAATTGTACGAGGAACTGCATTTAGCTGTGAGGAAGAGAGCCCATGAAACAGTGCTTTCAACCAATTATGCTTTCTCTCTTCTCTCGTTAAAAAAAAAATCCACGTAGTAGGGAGGCTTCGCAGAGAACCTAGCTTTCTCCCTTCTGTTCAGTTACCCTGGACCATGAGCTGTCCCTTGTTGGCAAATTATAGCTCCTGACTCTGCCCAGGTGTGGCGGCCACACCCCCAGCGGGAAGAGGGCGTGGCTGAGGAGCAAAGGGCACCTCGGTTGAGTCAGCCCCTTTTGCAGGCTTTCTTGGAAGCTGTGCCCAATGATCTCTGCTCGAATCTCTCTGCTTAAAACTGTGGGGAGCCCAGGTGTGGGTGGCAAACTCAATATAAAATCCAATTTTATTAGTAAGAAAGGAAGGATAAACAACAAGGACCTCCTGTAGAGCACAGGGAACTATATTCACTTTCTTATAATAACATATAAGGGAAAAGAACCTGAAAAGAAAATATATACGAGTATGTATATGTGTAACTGAATCACTTTGCTGTACACCGGAAACTAACGCTGCAAGTCAACTACATTCTAATTAAAAAAAAAAAAAAAGAAGAAGGGAGGGAGGGAAGGTGGATACTGGTTGGTCAGTGAGCAGTCTTGCCCACACTAATGGTTACAAGCTGCTCCTGGGAATGACCCTTCTTGAAAATGCCACTTCATGCACCCACAACGGATGAAGGTGATCTAAAATCATCCCATGATGGATAAAGAGTTCTGAAGCAAACGCTCATCATCCCTGCTAAAGACATAGTATTAAAACATTTGAATAAGGTACTGCTTTAAAACACTTTGCCAAAAAAGCTGAACTTCCACTTCTCTTAAGAAGGAAAATATGGGGGAAATTGTATTTGCCCAAGACCTCACAAATAACTAAAGAAACTTGTTAATCCAGCAGACCCACAGATGGAAATCTGGCAGTTTCCAAATTGTCACTCTGTGCATAATTATTAGGATTCTAAGTTTTGATTTAAGTTTAAGAATAGTTTTTTAAAAGTAACAACCTGAAAGGGGTTGAAGTCCACAGTTGCACAGTCCTATATCCACAATGACGAATTCTCCCAATCTCTGAAAAGCGAAATCTTCCTCAAAAGTTACTGTATCTGTTTGGTGACAAAAGCTGACCTGAACTAGGTCATAAGTGTGACTGATTATATATTTCATTGCAAAATATGATTGTATTGATTATGGGATGATTGTGATAATACATCACATTAGTATTTTTAAATTATATCTTCCCTGCCCATACAGTTCTGAGCGGGGAAGATCTTAAGAAGCTGCATTATCTAATTGGCTCATAATTTTAATAGTGTAAAGATTCCTATTACTATCAAAGCTCATTCAAGGGATTAGACCTCACTGATTTGGCCTGCTCTTTAAATTTTTCTTAGAGTCTAAGACATTGAACAGATTGTTTCTGCCCATGGAGACATAGGATTTTGTTTGCTAACAACCGGTTAGCAAATTCAAAAAGAATAACTGTTTTTATTCCAGTTATATTAGTTAAATTCTAGCTTTAATCATGCTTTGCCTCATTTGTTTAAAAAAAACTGGTAATTGAGCATTGTTCAACGGGTATGAAATGTGAGTTTTTCTGAATAAAAATATACCAAAATCAACACTACTGAAAAGAAGTACAAAACTGAGGCAGTTGCCTGATTTCTTCCTTCTGATTTTACTGGTAATATGTGTGATCTTAGACATTTGTTTCTTGCTCATATTTATTTATGAACTGAGTCATAATCAATGGTTGTAACAGTGCAGATGAAATGTGGATTTTTAAAAATATAATACCAAAACACTGTGCTGCAGCTATGTAAATTCAAACTTAGCATGGACTTTTTCTCTACTTGCCCACAGCTTCTCTGGATACTGAAACCGCCAAGCTCTCAAATCCCAACGTTTTACTCACTTGTTTAGCTATGGAACTCCTTTCTGTAGCTTACCGATTTCGGCAGGATGTCACTGTTGTGGGTCATAATGCGGGGCCGGTCGGTGAGCCAGTGACATGTGGGTGGTAAAATAATTTACCAGAGACAAAGTATGAGCCCAGGAAAGAGTTTATTGAGGTGCGCTGTCATAGACATTGACGGGCCACACAGACGAGGGGTGCCCGCGTGAGCGCTGAGGGCCGGTTGTTGGGGTCTTTCATAAGGTCGGGCCAGAAGGTGCCTGATTGGCTTGTGCCCAAGTATCTAATTGGCTGTAGGTGAGGAGGTTTAGGGTCCGTGAAGGGCAGTGGGGTTTATGACTCTTAGAAGGTATGCATTATCTGGGGCTAGTAGTTTGTTAGGGGAAACATGCCCAGTAAGAATGTACTTTACCTGTTGAGGGACCACAGGGAGACCTCTGAGAGTCCAGAAATGGGGTTGTTGGGCTTTAAGGACGTCAGTTGGCCCACCAATCACCACATTTCTGATCTCCCCTGTTATCATTGTCCCTTTCTCTCCTGGTGCTGCACGGCCATGGGCCTCATTTTCCTTCTTGGAACACGCCAAGCTCCATTCTGCCTCAGGACCTTTGCACACATTGTAACCACTTCCTGGTAGGCTATTTCTCCTGTATTTTTAAAGTTTGGCTCTTTCTCCTCCTCCTAGCTTCAATGCCATGTGCTTAGAAACAATTTTCCTTACCACCTTCTCTGTGTGTTTCCTTCCTGTTTTTCTGGAAGACTACACTCTGTTTATTCCTTTAGAAGCAATTATAACTTGCAATTATGTATTTGTTTACTTGCTTATTTCTGTCTTCTTCCTAGACTATGAGCTTCACGAAGGAGGAGAAAAACTGCCGGCTTGTTCATTAATGTGTATGTAGCACCGAGCATCCCACCCAGCACTTTCTAAACCCTCAAGAACTATTTGAATAAACAACATGAGAATTATTTATCTTACATCTTTCAGTGATAATTTTTCCAAAACATCTCACACAACATTTTACTTTTACCAAAACCAAAGATGTTCAAATTATGTATATCATGAATATTGTCTAAAAAACTCTGACGAAAATTCTGCCATAGAGAAGTGTATAAACTAGAAATATGCATACTGTGGAAAATGCACAGAATATTCTACCATGTGGATAATAAAAATATATATACACATGTACATCCCTAGCTGTCTTTATGGATGTACACATATAATTATATATGTCTAACTGTATGTATGTAGACATATATGAATGTTCATGTATATATCAGGGTGGGCAAAGGGAGAAAAGAGGAGAGGACACGGCTGGGGTGGGGGAAAGACAAAATGGTACATAGTGAATATGGCACCTAGCAATTTTTTTCTATTAAAAGGAAAACTGCTTAAAAATTTCTCAAGAATTTTAGTCTACTCTCTTCATTACATGACTTCCTAAGCGTGTTGTCCTGATTATAATCACATAAATGTCGTTGAAATTTACTCTCATCAGATAACTACTGTTGAGACTACAAAGTAAAACGTTTACTCTCAGAAATATCCTAGTTTAGACAATAAATTATACAGTCACTGTAGTTAGAGCTCTTTAAGAAAGTCATCTATTAAATGCTAGGGGGGAGGTGGGAAGGGATAAATGTGTAGCTCTAGATTTGCAGATACTAACTAATATATGTAAAACAGATAAACAATAAATTTATACTGTATAACAGGGAACTATAACCTATGATGGAAAATAATATGAAAACAAATATATGTATGTTCCTATGTGATTGGAGCGTTGTGCTGTACACCAGAAATTGACAGAACATTGTACACTGACTGTACTTCAATAAAAATATACATAAGAAAAAACTACAAAAATAAATAAATAAATAAAAATAATAAAAATTAAAAAAAATTCTAAGTGGGGATAGAGCTACCAGACCGTGTGTGTATGGGGGTGTGGGGGAAGGGGTCTGTAGAATATAGGTACCTGCTCACTCCCATTTTTTCAGCCAATTCCCTTAAACTCTCTTCTATCCTTGGCGCCCTAGAAATTTAGCTGGCAAGGAATTTTATACTGAACCTGTTCAATTAACACATATATGCAGTATTTGACACATTTCGATATTTGCTGACTTTTGTGGCTTTGCATTTGCAATCCATCGTCCTGTAGCATTCATTTAACGTTGTTATTATTATTATTAATTTTTATTTGTTTATTTTTCTAAGTTTTCGACTTGGTTTTTATTCAAAAGCCCAGTTGCAACCACCAAAATGCCTGACTCAGCTCCCAACTAGACCCGGAGCATCAAATTTCCCAGCCCACTTAATTTGAAAGCATGACAAGATAGGCGAAAGCCCTTATAAATATGTAAAGCAGGAAGTTCAAATTCAGTCAAGTAAATCTCTCGTGATTGATGTTCTTTTCAAAGCAAAAATTAAAAAAAAAAACCTAATAAAAAGCAGCATATTTCTGAGGCCCCCTTACCGAAGGCTTCCCCAAGAGTCCAGCCTGGACAATGTACTTTTAGTGCTGTATTTATTTTGGATTTTTACCACTTCCTGGAGGCCAGGAGGAGCCACAGTGGGAGGATCCCAAAAAAACTCAGAACCACAGCCATTTTGTTTGTAAGGCAGAATGGTAGGGTTCTGTCAGCTGGTAAAGGCTTCTGGAACAGTTTTTAAGGAGGTGGGGTGGGTGGGGAGTAGAAAAGGATGCCTATTGTTTTTCATTGGCGCGCTAACATCATTATTTGATTTTTATTTTCTGCACAAACAGTAGTACTTACGGCTAACCAAGTCTAAATTTTTCCCCCCCTCTCCTCCCAAGGAGTTACAGCTCCCTAGGCTGAAAACGACGTGCATTCCGTGCACAGCTCTTTCAGGGGCCTTCGCGACGCGCAGGCAAACGTGCTCTGCTGGGAGCCGCTCTGCAGCGGCCGCGGCCGCATGCCGGGCGGGGACCGGGGCGCCGGGCTGGGCGGCGGGCAGGAAGCCCCCGAGTGGGCGCCAGGGGCGGGGTGCGGGCAGGAGGCTCCCCCGGCGCCTGCCCCGAGCCCCGGACCCTTCCCCGCGCGCGCGCGCGCGCGGCGGCCGGGGCGCTATTGTTCTGCAGCGTCACCGCGGGCCGAGCCCGGAGCCCGGCATCCGGCGGCCGCGCTCGGGAGCCCGTGTAAAATGGCCCTCACGCCGCCTTTTCCGGGCTGCGGGGGCGGGAGGGACCGCGGAGACGGGCCTGGCCTGGCAGCCAATCCGCGGCCGCCGCCGCCAGCGCAAAGTTGTTACCCCCGGCCGCCGCCGCCGCCGCCGCCGCCGCCGCCTCCCGGTCATCTCCGGCCGGATCGCTCCGATTTCCCCCAAACGCCCACGGATCCCGGGGAGCTCCCCCTCCAGACCGCGATCATGGAAGAAAGTCGGACTTCTCGTTTGCCACATATTCCGAAGATGTTCGGGGATCCATATGCTGCCTGCAGGCTGCTGCTGGTGGGGACTCAAGTATCCAGTCTATATTGTTACAATTATTTCTCCAGAACTGGCTTCTTTGCCTTCCACTCATGGTAAGTTTGTCATTTTAAACATTTTATGCCCTTAAATCTTTGAACGAGCTCCCGGCTAAAAAGGATTTGCATTGTGTTTCTTCTCGGAAAACCAATCTTTGTATTTTTTTCCTTAGCTTTGATCTCTGCACATTTCCACCTAATCTTGTCTGGTTAATTTTTACCAAAAGAAAAAAAATTAGGTTCCCCCCGCCTCCATGATCAAAGCTAAGTATTTATAATATAAATTATACTTTGATTACTGTGAACTAAGAGGAACTCAGCTATTTCAAGATGGACTTGTTTTGTGCCAGCAATGTTGGTAATGCCAAATATGTGCATATCTTCTTTATAAAAATTGTGTATTACCTAATATGTCCAGGATTAAATGATCAGCTGGCAAACTATGGATGTAGTTTGGTTTGGTTTGGTTTTAAATAGTCCTATTGTGGTTTTCCTGATGGATTACTTGGATACAAACTACAGAAAAGCTGCCCTTGGTATAATGAAGGCGGAGATTGACATAACCGGGTTTATATTAAGTTATGGCTGTTACTAAATAGTGGGTCTTTTATTTGCTGATCAGATCTAAACTTGTGTTCCATGGTAGTAATTCCCTCAAGCTCCTCATCGGATAGTCTTTGCAGAGCTATCTTGTTTTTCTCGGAGGTACATTGGGGAGACATTTTGTAATTTTTGGCATTTTTCTAATTTTTTTTTTCTTTTTGCACACGGTGGGAGATCTTTTTTGTTTTGCATTGATCTGTGTTGGTGGCGCTGTGGTTCTCTTCAACAATTTATGTCAGTTTCACTAAAAGAAAAAGGAGAAAAAAAGAGGTGGGGCAAGACTTGATCTATTATCTTATCTTTTTCTTTCCTTAAAGAAAGTTGATTTTGGTCAGAGGAGATTATTCAGTTGTATTATTTTGATGTTTGCTGTGAACTGTGAACTGTGGCTGAGAGCAGATGTGTCGTCACCCCAGCCCAGGGGGCATCAGGGAGGAGCATGCGTTTGCAGTTGTGTTTGATCTGATCTGATTATCTCTAGATCCGAATTTCTTCGATAATAGGCTGTCGGCTTACCCTCTCTTTCCTCAGTAACATTTTGCATTTTCCTTATATCGGAATATCATACGTGCCAGTGTCTTCGATTGAACAAAACGTTGGAGTTTTAGTTCACTGAACATTGTAAAAGTTAAATTTCGTTTTGAACCTAGGGATTCCTTAAATAACTATTCCAAGTTTCTCTGGGGAATTTTCTAGTAGTTGGACATATAGCAGTGTCTACATTATTGTTTGTTTTATTTTGAAGTGATATTTCGGTTGAATTTATGTGTATCCTTGTTCAAAAAAGAGCAAGTATCTTGGAATAAGATAATTTTTAAGAATATATATACAGCTGCTTTTAACTTAAAAAATATTGGTATTCGTATACCTAAATGCAGGATAAACCTCTTCCATCTTTGTTCTCACTGGAAGTTAGCTGACTGGAGAATACTGAATTTAGGCCCAAAGCCTCCGTATTATGCTGTGACATAGTTTTTACTAGTCTGTGAACATTTTAGTTGTTTGTGAAGATAGTAAGTGTGTCCTTAATTGAAAAAGAAAGTAGGAGAAATCAGTGATTGCACCTAAAAACATGTTATTTTGCCAAATAAAAACAACTGAAATAGTATCCTAGACCCCCTTTTCATATAATTGAATAGACTATTTCTTGAGAGAGTAAAAAATTTTGGAGTTATTATTGAGTGTTTTTATTCACTTTGAAATGTGTAAATGCCCATTTTACTAATTATTTAAAATTCTGAAGTAGAAAAAAGTGTGAAAATACCTAGGTATAGTATTTCTGATTTTTGTGTCCCTGTAATTTGTCTGTGTAAGACCCTTTCCTTCAACTTCAAAAATAATTATGTATTATGCCTATAATTTGTTTATATTCTGCTATAAAAATGTGAAAATGTTCACTGTAACATTTTATCTCTTCATAAAATTTAAATGCCCCCATCAAGACTAGATTTGACATTATAGATTATTTATGGAATGAAATACTGCAGGTGTAAATATATTATCTAATCCTCTGTGCTGTAGAGTTTAGTTCTCTGAAGTTAATCAGCTGAATAAAATATACTTTCCTATGGGTTTGTTGCTAAAACGTTCTGTTACTCAGCTGGTAATTTTTTTTGTTTTAATTTGTGGAAACTAAAAATGCTTATACAGTGTAGCCCCCCTTTTAAAAACAAACTGATGCTGTGAAGTCCATATGTAGCTATGCAACGTTCTTTGTTCTCCTACATCATCGACTATTACATCATTGATTATGAGTAACCATTATAGTTACATCTCGACTCTTAAAAATCATCATGGATATTTATGTTAAAGATATTCTATCTGTGGCTCTTACATCACTAAGTAAGGAGGTTTAAATCTACGAGGCAAAAACAATTCATTGTTTTACATTATTCTCCATTTTTAAATCCACCTTGTGCTTCCTTTTAGCTCTTGATTCTTTGGAGGTTCCTTTTTTCCTTAATTGACAACATTTCATAGGCATTTAGTTCGTGAGTTTGGTGAGATTAGGATTAGAATTATTAAAATAAGCTATGTTTTATCATGAAAAAGTCTTTATTGAATGGAGTATAGAGAGAACTCAGTTTTTCATAGTAACAGTTGCTAGCTCATGAACAATAAAGAATTTTTTTTAACTCTTGAAATGTCATTTTAATCAACAATTACACACTTATTTTTTCCTCGCACACTTTTTTTTATCGGAGATAGTAGCAAGTAGCAACGTTGACTATGTTAGAATATCATTATTATTTTTTTCATCCTGCCCATCCCTCTTGGAGGGGAGGGGTCAACAAGTAGTGACATGGCCAAAAAAACAGTTTGCAGAAAGAGGAAATAAATGATGCCAAAAACATGGAGGATCTGTAAATCAGATTCCAAACAATGAACCTCAGACAAATGAACTTGAAATTATGAGCTTGGTCAATAACAGAAATAAACTGAAAATTTTATTAAGACTTAATGTAGTGAACCTACATAATTTCCTGATTTGTTAGTTTGTATTCATTAGTATTGCTAAAGATTGGGGAAATTTTCAGGTTAGACAACCTTATTAGGAAAGATGAAGAAAAAAAGGAAGAAACATTTACATTGATATTAAGATGACCTCTCATAAAATGCTGAAAATATTAGCCATGATCTATCTTACATACCTTAGAATAAACTTTTTTAGGAGAAGTAAAAAGAGCTAAAAATGTTGCCCTCTGAAAACCAAATTCAGTACAGATTTGGAATTGAGTATATGTTTCTAATTCCATCCTCTTTTCGTGCATACATATCCATGCTATTTCTTGGACAGATCATTACATGTTTGCAAAGGAACAGATGGGAAAGAAAATGAGAGACCAAATGGGTGTTTGTGTTATGACTTTGTTTTTTTATCTTTCCAAAAAAATTCCCTAATGGAGACTCTGAAGGGGAAGTAAGGCAAAGATGATGATTTCCTTAAGGAAAAGATGAAAGGAATGGCCTGTATACTTGATTTATTCACCATTTATTTTTATCTATGGGTTTGTTTATTCCAGATTTTCCTCTTATTATGTGCTATTATGCCAAATGCTGGGGTGCAATATTCAGAAGAAGAGGCAAGGATCCCTGCTCTCATGGAGGTTACAGTCCAATATGGTTCAGTATTTTAAAGATATTTCAGTGGGGAGGGTACAGCTCAGTGGTAGAGCACATGCTTAGCATGTATAAGGTCCTGGGTTCAATCCCCAGTACCTCTATTTAAATAAATAAGCAAATAAATCACCTAAATACCCCCCCACACACACACACACAAAGGAAAAGACACTTTAAATCTAAGGTCTTAGATACGGGAGGTTCTCTTTGGGAATGAAGGCGTAATAAGATTTCTGGGGTAAAACCTTTTTAAAAAATTAAATCTGTTTTTATAGGATTTAAAGGGTCATTCTATTGAAGGACCATTATCTGTGACGCATTGAGGGAGAAATAGCCCTCAGATTTTAGATCTAGCCCAAACAGATGCTGCATAGATGGTTACCTAACGCAAATTCCTATTGCAAAGTGAGAAATAAAACATTAACCAAATAAGTTAAGAAGAGATGAGGAGGGGGTCACTCTGGTGGAAGGAATTTTGTGTGTGTTCTTGTGATGTCCATTTAATAAAAACTTTTTTAAGGTGGTAGAGCCTCATTTTGTACATTTTGTTCACATTGTCATGAGAGAAATGTCAATGTAAATAAAAATTGTAAAATGAAGCAGGGAAATACAATTACAGTGTTAAAGGATTATATCAGAATTAAAATATTTATTTTTATTTTAAAATCTTCTGAAAGAATTTTCAATGATTTTTTATATAACAGAAATTGTTATAATAAACATTTTAACTTATGAAGAGAATATAATTAGACATTTAGCTAATGGTTACTTCGTTAAGCACATCAGATATGGAGCAGGGAAGTGAGACTGCTGTTACATGCAAATGAATTGGACGAGAAGGACCTATTCGTTAAGAATCCTCTATGTGTGGTTTAAGATGACCTCCAGAACAAAGTGACCAAGTTACTTTGTCATAGAGCCAATTAAGATACTAACTAAATGTGTTACGTCATTTAGTTTGCTTTTGTACTAACGTAGACTCCTTCTGATAATGGCATAAAAAATAAGGACATTTATTATTTCAACTAAATTAATAATTAATAGGCAAGCCAGTTCTAGGTTTGGTTCAATAGCTCAGCAATGTTATCAGGTTTCCTAGTAGGTTCTATTCTTTTACATTGCAGTCATGTCAGCAATGTCTTTCCTCATAGTCACAAGATGGCTGCTGCAGCTCCAAGCATCATATCCTGATACTGCAGCTTCCAAAGGGAAGAGAGTTTCTCTTACGCATCTTTTCAGAAGGGAAGAGATTCCGTCCCAGAGGCCCACAGCATACTGCTTCTTACAGCTCTTTGGCCAGGTTTGTAGGACATGCTCATTTCTAAACCCTGTCA